AGATGCAGGGCTTACTGCTATCTGAGGGTGAAGCTAACTTTGACACATAGTAGCTGTGTGATGTGGGCCAGTCGCTGGGTGTCTCTGAGCCTCTGTCCCTTGACTGTGAAATGGGGGAAGACTCTGAGGGTTCTGTGTAGAGATTAGGAGACCAGACAGGTGTGCCTCCAGGCCAGGGCCTGGCATTTGAGAGAGACTCAGGAATGCTTGTTGATGCTGTGTGGGGAATCCTGTAAATATTTAGTAAGTCTTGTTAACTACTCATGTGGCTTTACTTTGCCCAAAACCAAAAATCAAACCCATTGCCATCAAGTCAATTCTGACTCATAGCGACCCTATAAGACAGAGTAGAACTGCCCCGTAGGATTTCCAAGGAGTGGCTAGTGGATTCCAACTGCTGACCTTTTGATTAGCAGCCGAGCTCTTAACCACTGTGCACCAGAGCTCCTTGCTTTGCTCAAGGGAAGACCGAAATGGCACAGGAAACTAGCATCAGAGGAGCAAGGAGGCAGGTCTGCCAGCTGACCCCTTCTCCCGACCAGTGTGCCACGGGTACCCAGACTTCGGAGGTGAAAGAACCTTAGAAATCCATCACTGTCATCACTTTTTTTTAAAAAACAAGGGCTTACTGAGGAGCCCCCTGCTCTAGGCACTACTGTTTGCTCTCACTTTCGTGACCTCACCTATCCTCCTGAGGATTTATGTGGGCAATGTCATTCTGCCCATGGCGCAATGTGGGGACCTGAACTCTTTGAGGTGGGCTCGTTTGCTGTAGGGCACACACTATTTGGGGCAAAACTCCCACTTCTAGTTTCCAGGCCATTACCTTTCCTGCCACTTATGGCTCTCGCTCAGTGCTGTGTGTGTCCCCAAAGGCCCTCGGCAGTAGGGGACATCCAGAACACAAGCACCCCTCCCATCTCCTCCCTGTCCTTACTGACCCCCAGCCTGACTTCTGGGCTACTTCTCCGCACCCCCCGCACCAGGCCTGGGTTGTGACCAACTGTGCCCTCCCTCACAACCTGCCAATAACCCCATTCTCTGTTCACGACTCTCCTTCACTGCAGGTTGGCATCTTCCCAGGTGTTCTGAGTTGCCTCCTAGGAAAGCTCTGTCCTCCCTACAATCGGGCATTTGCCCAGTAGCCCCTGGGTAAGCAGACTCAGAATTTTCTACTTGGGGGTAGGGACGGATTACCCAATAAGCAAGGTACACACGGGCTTACTTGTGCTTACTTCCTAAACTGTAGTGCACAATTCCACCTGTTTTTCACCTAAGATGTCATGAAACCCATATGAAATTGTGCAGTACAGATTAGTAAGTAAGCACAAGTAAACCCATGCGTACCTTGCTTACTGGTTAATCCACCTCTTCTTGGGGGTGATGTGTTTCACCATCTCAGGGATTAGCAGGCTAGAAGAGAGAGCCCAAGGAGGGTGGCAGACCCAGAGCCAGAAATTCAGGATTCCCCAGTGGTTGGAAGGGTGAGCCTGGGGTCCTGGGCAGACAGCATATCCCGGGAACTCCTCACAGAGACTGGGAGCAGCTGCAATCTCCCAGCCTGCACCCCATCAGTCCTTTTAGAGACCCATGAGTCTGTTCAGCGTGCTGCTTCAAAAAATACACAACTTGAGACACAACTTGCAGTTCTGTGACCACCTGGCTCTGCTGCATGGCCAGGAAATGAGTGTGCTCCGTGAAAACGGGGAGAAGTGATCCTTGCATCCCGTAGTCACGCACTTTGGGTGAGCAGCAGCAGTCTCGACTTTTTGGGCCACATTGGGAGGCTCCACAACAGAACTAAAGTTGGCAAAGTTTGAGTGGAGGCTCTTCACATAGTACTTTTTGGGGCCTTCTCAGCCTGCTGACTCCTTGGGATTCATCTCCTGGCCCCTTGATTCTTCTGCAGACTTCAGACAGCTCAGGACCATGCTCTTCTTTGGGTCTGGTGCCACAAAACCCATCATCCCTTCGGCTCACAGCCTGCCATGCCCTGTGATCTGGAGTCTTCTGTACCACCTTCAGTCAGAGTGTTCTCAGTTCAATTCAACAAACCCCACTGCATTCACATTGCATTCTGGGGCCTAAGATTCCCAAATGATAAAGACGTGGCCTGTGGAGTTGACAGTCTGGTAGAGAGTACAGTCAGGAAAGCCAGGGGATCACAGTGTGAAGTGACCACAGCAACAAGAGGAGTCAGTTCAAGGTCTAGGGGAGGAGCTCCCTCATTCTCCAGGGCAGTGGGGGTGGTTAAGAAGGTTTTCCGTGGTAGGTGGCTGAGTTTTGGTGGATGAATAGGCGTTCTAGGACAAGGCATTACAAAAGCATAAGGAACCATGTGATGTGTTTGGGGAAATACCAGCAGGTCAGTGTTTCTGGAATGGGGCAAATGATGGGGGACAAGGTGAGAGTTGCTAGAGGCAGAGAATGCCATGCTAGAGAAAGGGAACCAGTGGGACCTCGACTTTGCCACTGCTCCACGGTGTGACTCAGCCAAGCCCTCTCCTTTTCTGGGTCTGCTCGACCACGTCCATGATCTGGTCTGAAGGAGGGTAGGGAGGCACCCAGGCTTCAGGGGAAGAATCCCTGGGACAGCAGTTGTCCGGAGCCTGGCTCCAGCCTGTGTAGGGGCAGGTGGGACAGAAAGTGCTGGCTTTGTTCCTGGGAGACTCAGTGAGACCAGGCTTAGGATATGGGATAGGGAAATAATGTGTGGGGGCCAGTGTCGCTTAGAACTTCACATTTCTGCCTTGCTTTGGGCTCCTCTAAGTCTCTGCATCTACACTGTAGTCTCAGATTTGAGAACCCAGCTACTGCCAAGCATCTGCTCCCATTTGCAAACAGAATGGGCTCCAGTTTTGGGTGAGTGATGGCCCCCTGCACTTACTTAACAAGTGTCGCTCCCCTGCCTGGAGAGCTTTCCCCACTCTTGTCACCCTGCCAAGCATGACTGACAGTTCAGTCTTCCCTCCCTCTGCTGTGTCTTCCCCCCATTGGGGTACTTGCCACACCGAATGTGATCGGCTGTTCCCACATGTCCTTCTCCTACTAGCCTGGGGTGATTTGAAGGCAGGGACTGTATACGTAATTCATTCTTTTGTCCCTAGCACCCATCATGGGGTCTGGCTCAGAGTAGCTTCCTCAGTGTTTATTGGAAGGAAAAATAAAAGGAAGGAAGGGAAGGATGGAGGGAAAGAGGAAGGGAGGAAGAGAAGGAGGGAGGGAGGAGGAAGGAAGGAAGGCAAGACAAGAGAGAGGGAGGAAGGGGAGGAGAGGGATGAAGGCAAGCAGGTCTGTGGTGAGTACAGAAATGTAAGGCTGCTTGCCCTCCCTGGGTGCGTCGCACCCCCAGGGCTTCGGACAGTCCCTTTTACTAGAACATTCCCAAGCAGGCCCTATGTATCTTATCTGGATCCTGCTGACTCCTGGCATCATCTCTGCTGAGCTGGGGGCCCAGTGCTACCTCCAAGTGCTGGATGCTGGCTCCTTTCCTAGGACCTGGTGTCCTCCTGGTCCATGGAGAGCTTCATGACATCTGTTAGGAGAGAGACAGCTAGAGGGCTTTGGTGTACTTGGTTCTCAGTCCTTGGGAATGGTTCTTATGTGCTTCACTCACAGGACACAGATGCAGGTCACAGTGGCTTTTGAGGACCCTCTGAAGGAGACTGGAGAAGGGTCTGCTTGAGCACAACCCACCAGACCCCCAGCCCCAGCCTGTGTGCCCCATCCAGAGCCTGTGGCATGGTGCGGTGCCTGGGCTGGCTAGAGACCTCCTTACCTGCTCTCTTTCCTTTCTTCCTAAATCAAGTGCACCCATCTCAGACACGTTTACCCATCTCAGACACATGCCAGTCTCCCCTCATCTCCATTATCATTGCTGTGGCCAAATCAGGCCCCTCCCCTGCCTGGACTCTTCTAGGCTTATCTCCTCACTGCTTCTCAGCCACCAGTCCAAGCCCTTCCACAGTGACAATGTGTTCCTATGTAAAAAGAACACATTCAATTCTGAAGAGAAAAAAATTACCTAATAAAGCTCTTTGTCTTGGGCAAACGCTGAGTCAAATGAGTACCTCTAAAATTGGTGTTGACATGAGCAAACCTCTCCAGACTAGGGCATCACCTGTGATATACAATCACAGTTGCAACCCCAAAATGCTTAGGTGTTTTGGCTCTGGAAAGTTTCCTTAAATGGTTCACAAGTCAGGAAGCTTTGAGGAACCAGAGAGGAATCCCTCTAGGATCTGTCCTTCATTTTCCATCCCTCTTCTCACCATCCCCACTCCTCCATCCAAGGAGGAGGGCTTTATTAGATTGGCCAGATTCTGGCATACCACTTGGGCCACACTTTGTACTGGGTGCTGTTCCTGTGCGTTGACAGGTTAGTCATGGTGTGATCATCTCTTAAGGATGGAGCTTATGTGGAAACTACCCCTAGAGCAGACTTGGATGTTAGCCTCCTAATTCCTCTTCTTCCTTTTCTACCCATGTGGCAGAAGAGATCAGTGGAGTAGTGTCTACCGAACATGGAAGAGGCCCGTCAGGCATAGGGGTTTGGTGCCGTGCATTTCTGGTATGAGAAGTGCATGAGGCATATAGGGAGGGCTCATGAACCCTCAGGTGCACTGAATAAATCGATGGTTGGAAGTAGATACAGGTAACAGGTGGAGAAATGGTGGAGCCTGAGACTGGGTAGAGGAGGACTAGGCCACTTGCAGGCTAAGGAGTTCAGATTTAATTCTGTGGGCAATAGGGAGACGTAGATGGGTTGTTTTAAGAATAACTAATGTGATCAAGGTGCTTCATCTTTTGGACTTCCCTTTGCTCATTAGGAAAATGGTGCCTTAGCTACCCTCAGGTTTACTGAAGTGAACCAAGGACGACAGTGAAAACACTTTGCAAAAAGATTAAAGCACAATGCAGAATGCTGTAATTATTCCATGTTGCACATCTCAAAACCCATGGCTTTGGCCTGGCTTGAGGTACAGAATGTGGCATATTTTTTACAAAGAATAATTTGTTGTAATGTCGATCTCTTCCTTTATGAGCCAAATGATCGAAGGGGAGGGAGTGCACTCAGCTGGACAACCTTTCTCCTCCTCCATATCCACCTCTGGATCCTTCACATCCTCCATGCTCTCAGTGTTCTGGGAGAAAGGCTGCCCTGGGAAATGTGGGCACATTGTGGTCAAGGGCCAGGAGATGTACATTTTTGAATAATCCCCCATTCTTCTTGTTATGGATTAAATTGTGTCCCTCAAAAATAAATGTTGAAGTCTTAACCCCCGGTATCTGTGAATGTGACCTTGTTTGGAAATGAGGTTTTTGAAAGTATTATCAGTTACCATGAGGTCATAACAGAGTAGGATGGGTCCTAATCCTATCCAAATGCCATCTTATAAAGAGGAAAACAGAAAAAGAGAGTTGGAGAGAAGGATGACCATGAGCTTATGGACATAGATGCAAGCCAAGGGACACCAAGGATTGCCAGGAACCACCAGAAGCTGGGAAAGAGGCATGGAACAGATTCTCTCTCAGAGCCCTCAGAAAGAATCAACATGGCCGATAGCCTGATTTGGACATCTAGTTACCATAACTGTGAGAAAATACATTTTTGTGCTTTAAAGTCACCTACTTTATGGTATTGTGTTACAGCAGTACTAGGAAACTAAGACACTTCTACACTAGCCTCCTTCTTGATCTTCTAACTCTCCAGGCAAACGCATGCCTTTGAACTTGCTCTTCTCTCTGCTGGGTATACTTTCCACCCATGGTTTGCTCTCTCATTGCCTTCAGTTTGTATCCTCAAATGTCACCTTCTCATCGAGTCCTTTCTTTATCATTCCCTTTCCCTACTTAATTTTTCTACTTAGCACTTAAAAACCAAAACCAAAACCCGTTGCTGTCGAGTGGACTCCGACTCATAGCGACCCTGTAAGACAGAGTAGAACTGCCCTGTAGGGTTTCCAAGGAGCAGGGGGTGGATTCAAACTGCTGACCTTTTGGTTAGCACTCAAAAGCATATACATGGACTCAACATTTAGCTTATTTATCCTGTTCATGGTCTGTCTCCTCCACTGTAATATAAACTCTACAAGGGTAGGGAGTTTCATCTGTTTTGTTATCTGCTGTAACCTAGTACCTAGAAGAGTGCAGTTGACAGGCTATAAGTGTTTGTTGATAGACTAAATGAATTCCTGCTTTCTATTTTGGGAGTAGGGTATCCTGTAACTTCCAAACAATTGCAGTATGAAGTCATGAATTCACACAATCTCTGCAATTTGATTTTCTTTTATTTGTGGCACTAAAGGACACACAGTAGGGACAGCTGTGGACAAGAGCAATTGGCTGGATGCTCTTTCTTCACTAAGGAAGTTGAGCAACCTTAATCAGACAATGCAAAGCTGAGATTCCATTCTACTCGATGCTCAGATTGGAAGTACTGTAAAGACATTAAAATGATCTAGCCATATTTGTTGTTCCATTAAGACAGAGATTTTATTTCAAGAACTTCTCTTGATTTCTATTAATCTCTTAAAGAGTATTATTTCAATATAACAAAATGTTTTAGATATATATATGAAAAACTACTACTGTAGTTAAACTTTGTTATAAATACTGGTGACTGAACACCACGTGCTACCAGAGGACTGGTATATAATACAAGGGGAGCTGCTGGTCTGTTGAGCAAAAGGGTCAAGACTGAACTCGAATCATGAAATAATAAGCACAGTTTTGATTCAATCTCTGCAACATACAAATACTCAACATCCACACCCCTCCACCCTCTCAGGGAGTTCAGAAGGCCTTTGGGGAAGTCAGTGGGCTCCGTATACAGCCCCCCTCCGGGGAGGCTCACTATACTTCACAGCCCACTGGGGACCAAGTGTCACAAACTGGATGCCTGTTCATCAGACCGTCCACTCCAATGTGGTCCTGGATCTCAGCCACCTGCTGCCTCTGGAGAACTCACAAATGCCCTGTCCATGTGATTATGTATGATGTGTTCTGCATGACAATAATTTATCTTTAAAAACTTAGAGGACCAGAATTGACCCATGACCCTCCATGAGGTTGTAGCCCCAACTCTTTGAGTAATAAGAACCCAATCGTTTCATTACCCAACACTTTCACCTTTGAAAAAAAAATTCTCCCAACTCTTTCCTTCTTACTAAGAACACATGTAGCATCGTACAGCCTATCACACTTAGATTATTTCAGTTGAATTTTTCCAGAATTTAAAAGATTTTAAACAAGTCAATGGTTTTAACCACTTCTATGTGGTAAAAGTCTTAAAGGTCCAAAATTGGTCTGAGGCATGATTCTTTTCCTTTGCCCATAAATCTAATGAAGTGTTAGTGCTGGGTTGCAGCACTCAGATTCCCATTCACCTGCCAACAAGAATAGTTTATTGGCAACTTTGAATATGCAGAGGCAAAATATATCTCCTTGGCACACAAGCCGTGCAGCAAAGCAACATTGTTCCCTCCCTTTGAACCATTATATAGGAATGCGCTGAAAATCAACTATACAGATTTTGGCCCATAGACAAGAAAGTAATATCAAATCCCGATGTTTCTTGCCACGTAGAGTCCTTGAGTGATGATTCTGGACGTCTTACAGGGTGAGTTTTTGCGATTATCTGAACTTTATTAATATTCACACAAGCAAGGGTACCTGCAGTGAGAAAAATGTAGTTATTCACCATATGTTGATAAGCCAAGGGTGTAGATATTTAGGTGCTGAATAGCTATATATATGCAAAACTCCCTTGATATATTACTCTTTGAACTCACTGAGATTTTTTACACTGACACCCATCCAACTTACAGCTCCAAGGAGTAATCTTTCTGAAACATTAAACATACCTAAAAGTTTTCAGTGACTTGCTATTGCATTCTTTGCTCTTGCACGAATAAAGTATGGCATCCTTGGAGGGTGAAAGGATATAAGCACAGGTCTTTGCTGTTCTCCCAGAGCCCTCTGCTGCCCTCAGTCCTCCAACCCTCTCAGCTCCCTTCAGTTTCTGTGATCTTTCTCTCCTCTGGGCAGTTTTCTGCAGGGGGTGTTTCTCTGTCAGGAATGCCCCCCATCTTTTTTTCTAGAAAACTACTGTGCTTTCTTCAAGAACAAGTTTTCCTAACACCTCCGTGAAAAGGACCTCCGGGGCTGGGGCACATCGGACATCCCCGTCTGAGCTCTGTCTGGGCGCACCCCACCTGGGCCGCTTCCTTCCTAAGAGTTTGACAATCTCACCAGTGATATGGGCGCTCTTGGAGGGCAGGAACCATGGCCGAGCAATCACTCTGCGCCCAGTGCATGGGACTCACTGAGTGTGCAATAAATATCTGTGGCCTCAATGAATGAATGGAGCTTACAAGGTCCTATTCCATTAGATGAGAAGCCCCAGACTTTCAGAATTCAAACGTCCACTGTCAGTTCAGCCCTGCTTCCTCTGTGACAGCCCATTTGCCGAGAATTTGATTTGTGTAATTCTAAAGGGAGTATTTCAGTGTCTCAAAAGGCTTTTAAGGGGAGGGACAAATTTGTGTGAAACCACATGAAGAGAACATTGGATTTCCCACTGTTGTTTCACTGAGTCCGACTCATTCTTAACTGAACATTGCCGTAATTTGTACATCTCACCCCCTTTTTAAATGCATTATCAAAGTAAAGGTTTCTGGATGCAAACATAGCTCTCTTACCAACACCAGCCACAACAAACACCACAACAACGATACCTAAAATGCTTTTCTGAGGGCATACTATGTGCTAGGCACCATCCCAAGCGTTGCAGAAGTCTTACCTCATTCAAACTTCAGCTCAACCAAATAAGGGATGTGTTCTTGCCATTATTATGGGTATTGCCTCCAATATGAAGATGAGGAAACTGAGATGTAGAAAGGATGACTTCCCTCAGATCAAACACTAGTGAGTAGTGCTGCTCAGCAGGGTGATCTAAGTAGAGTGTCAGCCTCTAGCTCACTACTCACGCTGGTTAACGTGTCTTTTGTCTTGACAAGGTCCGGCCACCCTCCCCTTATCTCCCTATGCCTCCACCCTTCTCCCCTTGGCTTCCAGTGCCTCTACACCCAGCTTGGACTCCCAGTCTGGGCAACTTTTCAAGGAAACTTGAGAATGAGCAGGTGATTATGATGCAGCACTAATGATAACAATTGTTTATTAAGCATCTTCTTTGTGCCAGACAATGGGCCAAGCCCTGTGCACATTAGCTCTCATTTATCCCTTACAACAATCCTGAAAAACAAACAAGGTATCTCTTCCCATATTACAGATAAAATGAAGTCTCAAGGATCCAGAACCATTAAGGAGGGACCTAGGAGTCATCGTCCCAGGTGTACTGACACTAAGTCCTACGTTCCTCTTTCCCCATGCTAGGCTTTCATTTCTGTTAGGTAAATGACTAGGAGTGGAAAGGCTGGATCATATGATATTTGTAGGTTTAACTTTTTAAGAATCTACCAAATTGTTTTCCAAAGTGGTGTACCATTTCACATTCCCACCAGCAGTTGCTTAGAGTTCCTGTTGCTCTATATACTTTCCAACAGTTGGTATTGTCATTTTATTTTTTAAATTGTAGCCATTTTATGTAGTGGTATCTCATGGTGATTTTAATTTGCATTTCCACAATGACTAAAGATGTTGAGCACCTTCTCATGCGCTTATTTGCATCTGTGTATCTTCTTTGATGAAGTGTCCTTTCAAATTCTTTGCCCATTTTTTATTGGGTTGTTTGTTTTCTTATTGAATTTTGTGTTCTTTATGAATTCTGAATGCTGTTGTTGTTGTGTGCCGTGGAGTCAATTCTGACTCATACTGATCCTATATGACAGAATAGAACTGCCCCATATGGTTTCCTAAGCTGTTATCTTTACGGGAGCATGTTGCCAGATTTTTTCTCCTTCACAGCCACTGGGTGGGTTTGAACCAAGACCTTTTGGTTAGCACACAAGCACTTAACCATTGTGCCTTATGTTTTCATTCTCACAACAGCATACTCTTTTGAGGAGAAGATTTTAATATTGATTAAGTCCAAAGTTATCAATTAGTTTTCTTAATGGAGTTTGCTTTTTGGTTTTGAATCGAAGAAACTGTTGCCTAAGTCAATGTCACAAAGATTTTCTCCTAGATGTTTTATAGATT